ACACATATACATGCATGCACGTATGCACTCAAACACACGCATGCACAATCTTCGGTGCTTTCAAAAGTTTTGAGAGGTTTAACCATACCTTTTGAGTTGAACATCTGTTTATTCAGGTATTAATGCACAGACAAATAGGAACAGTTAAAAATGAATCTTTAGTTTTGTTTGTTTGTTTGTTTATTTTTTTAATTTATAAAAACTTAAGATAGACCTGGAGAGGACAGGAGCTCCACAAGGACCAAATACATATCTGGACATAGGGGTTTTTTCTGAGACTGATTCTCCAGCCAAGGACCATGTTTGGATATAATCTAGAACCCCTGCTCGGATGTAGCCCTGGGCAGCTCAGTATCCAAGTGGGTACCCTAGTAATGGGAACAGAGACTGTCTCTGATATGAACTCAATGGCTGGCTCTTTGACATCCACCCCCCCTTACCCCCAAGGAAGGATCAGCCTTGCTAGGCTACAGAGGAGGACATTGCAGCCAGTCCTGATGACACCTGATAAGCTAGGGTCAGATGGAAGGGGGAGAAGACCTCTTCTATCCCTGGACTTAGAGAGTGTCAAGGAAGAGATGAGGGAGGGAGGGTGGGATTGGGAGGGAAAGAGGGAAGAGGCTACAACTGGGATACAAGGTAAGTAAACTGTAATTAATATGAAAAATAAAAATTAAAAAAATTAAGGAATGTTTAAAAAAAAGAGAGAGAGAGAAATCTATACAAGTCCTGGTACTCTGTCTCTTCTCAAGTCTGTGCCAAAAATGGCAAAAAAATTCCAGAAATTTCTTTACAATTTAACTTAAAATATGTTGTATTGTGCCGATGAGCATCTGACTAGACATTCATTTTTAAGAACACATTAAATTTCTGTTTTCTTCCCTCTCTGCTCTCCTCCGGCGCAGCATCTCTGCTGCCTCATTTGCTACCCTGTACTCTCGGCTCCTTTACTGTAACGTGTCTCTGTACTTAACTGCTGAACAGCAGCTCAGCCATCAAACAGCAGAAAGAATTACTTATGGAAAGGAAAACTTCTCACCTGTCTCAAAGCGGCATTTCTGAAGTCAATTGTACAAGAGAGAACAATTTAGAAACTTGGTGACCGCTAAGATTGGCTGACTACATCGTTCCTCTAGAAGATGTGCGTCATCCCCAGGAGGACGAGGCACAGAGGGGGGGACCCACCTTGCTGCTGGACACAGTGGAGATGAGTGGCTCTTGCCATCTATTTCATGTCATGTTCAGTGGACAACAGGACACAGGCTTAAGTGTCAGTATTGCTTATGTATAATTTGATACTGGGTAAAAATAATTAATGTAATCTGGCTTCAGTTTTTATGCCTCCAAAATATGGTTTCCTAGACTAAGGAAATATTTCAAATATTTTCTAGGTTTAACAATCTCTGACCTTAGCCTCCATGTGCCCTTTAGAAAGGCCATGTTTTCACAAAAGATTGCATTCTTCTCAAAGCCTTTGGAGGAAGGGTAGGTTATATTTAGAAGGCCCATTTGGCACTTCGGGTGTCCTCATGTCTTACTGCTATTTATAACCAGGTGTAGGCCAGTGGGACAGCAGATTTGTTTTAACTAATAACTGTCCAGCCTACAGGGAATCGAAAACTTGTTTGTCATATATTTTAAGTCTTGATTTAAGAATGAATGGGAAGTTGGATATATGTACACATAGATGCAAGTGTGTGTGCGGTATATTGTATGTATACGTGAATGCCATGCGCCCATTACATACTTGCTGATTCCTTAATATTATACATGTGTACACATGCATGTCATATATGTTTACACGTGTACACGCACAATACTTGCTGATTGCTCAGTACTTTCATGGCCTGAGGCCAAACACAATTTCAAACTTCATATTTCTGTTTGTACATACGGTTTTATCACTTGACAGACATTTTCAAGTGTTTTGAGGGTCTCAGTATGGATTCCTCATGCTTTCTTTTACTTTCCCAATATTATCTCAACTAAATCCAATTTGAAAGCCAGTAAATGTTTACGAATTCTATAAGTATTTACTTTCATTCTTATGAATCTTGTTGGTATTATTGTAATAGAGATAACTACAACATTTCATAGATAATTGACAGAACAGAAGCAAGGCAAAATGAAAACACCATTAGGAAAAAAAAAACATACATGCAAAGACGTAATGAAAATTAAACAATGTCGGAACTATATGGTGTTAACAAGAGACGAACAGGCCCACACTGGGGCTTGAAGTCACTGTCAACTGTCTTTAACTATTCTAGCGTCCAGACGAGCGTTTAGCTGAAATTGGGAATTTGTTGATGCTACATTTTTTTAAGACATCAAATGAATACAAATATTCAATTAAAAATAAAAAGTAACTTGTCTCGCAAACAAGGAGAGCAAGTTACAAACACCAGCATTCTAAACACTTCAGTATTTCCTGTGAATACACAACCAAATAAAACCGTGGCATTCGGGATGCTCATGCGACTCATTGACATGGTGCCCTGACGCAAGCCTCAGACTCCATCAAGGCTTGTCCTCTAATCCACTAGCACCATTCACATCGTAGTGTTATCTCAGGATGAAGATGCAGGCTTCAATACCTTGTTCTGCAAACGCTCTTTAATCCGGAACACTTTTCTTTATTTATCCATTCATTCATTCATTCATTCATTCATTCATTTATTTATTTATATATTTATTTATTTATTTATTTATTTAGGCTTCTTTTTGAGTACCCTGACCATGAAACCTTTCAGGATCACAGGCCAGTTTTGTTTGTAGAATTCAGTTTTTGTTTGTCAATGAGTGGATTCAGAAAACATCACATTAACAGTGCGGTTTCACGGTATGATGTCTTCTGAATCCACTCACTGAGATTTCCCAATCACGCTGATATCTTCCATAGCTCTTGAAACAGCAGTATATTCCAGGACCATTATTTATTGCTCTGTATCCAAATCAGCTACTTCCTAAACCAGCTACGGCCCGTCTACATGGAGAGCTGTTTTAGGAACAAAGACTAGGACATTGAGTGTGTTCACTGCTGCTAGGAAGAAGCTGCCAGACTTTGTGACAGATCTTTGAGATTATGGACATATATACATATAAAAACACAAATGATTATTCTCATAATTTATGTATATTTAGTTCTTATAGATTTACATTGAAAAATACAATTCACTTTAATAGTACGTATCACCATTCAGTACCATATGGTTCATTGTAGGTTATTTTCATAATTCAGAAAGAAACACTGATTACCACAAACCACAATATCCTTCCTTAATGAATCAATAAAGGGAGAAGCAAGTTCTCCCTTCTCTTCATCTAGCCAAAATCTATGGGAACCAAGTGCTGCATACTGTAGTGATTTCCCTATGTGATGCTTTAAAATGCTTTTAAAAATGACCTCACCATCTCCCCTAGATGCCCACTTAAATATTTAATAACCAATAGCTTAAAAAATACATAATGCCACTTGGCTGCTATCTACTCTATGAATAGATCTGTATAATTACTAGTCAAGAGCACTTGGGATAGTATCTGGACCCATCCTAACTTTATTTTCTTTCCTTTTGCCATGTAGAGTATAAATCATCTGTTGATCTGCAATGCACCTCACTGGCCAACTCTATTAGCCATATACATGATACAGTTCATGTGTCTATGAGCACACATAGTTCAACGGTTAAAATTCATGATTTTACTATTTGTAATTCTTGTTTGAGATCTAAGTTCACATTCCTCTTTTAACCAAGTGATGAAATTCTAGAAGTGTGAATAATGTGCAAATATATTTTTAGTTTCCCAAAATGTCTTATCCTAAATGTCTCCACAAAATAAAATGCAAATGCTTTTTGAAATGTAGTTTGTTGGAATCTTACAGATCTTCTAGGCTTCAGCCAAAACAAGTGCAAAGATCATAATATTGGGAAAAAATCTTGTCAGAGAAGAAAAATGTTAGCTTTGACAAAGCAGTGTCAAATGCATTTGGGGACTGAGGCTAGAGAAACATTGAATGAGGCCATGTATAGCATCAAAAGTTGTAAAATTTGTATTTTAACTCTGAAGAGAGGCAGATTTTGAACAATGACGTCACCTGTTTCCATGCTTCTTCAGATTACTGTGACCTTGCATTGCTTACAGAATGTAAGATAAGTATGAGGGCAAGCTGGGAAGGTGGGAGATCATGTAAGAAATCGCCTGTTACCCTGCGTGAGCAGTGATGGCTAGTGAGAAGCACATGGGTTCAGGCTAGATGATGAATTTAGAGTCTTTGGAAATTTTTGAAGAACCACTTGTAGGAACTTTGGGATAATGACATGTTAAAGATAAAGCCAAGGGTTTTGATCTCAGCAATTGGATTAGCGGCAGTGGTGGCAAAAACTAAAGTGAAAGTAATGATAAATGTAAAAAAGCAGGCACATGTGGTGGTATATGGTTCTATTCCCAGAAACTCAGGAGACTGAGGCAGAAAGATAATAAGTTAGAGGCCAACTGAGCCAACCAAGTAGGGCCTCTTTTCAAAACACTGCATCAGTGGTTCTCAATCTTCCTAATGCTCTGACGCTTTAATACAGTTCCTCATGCTGTGTTGACCTTCAACCAAAAAATTATTTTTGTTGCTACTTCATAACTATAATTTGTTGCTGCTACAAATTGTAATGTAAATCTCTGTTTTTTTTTTTTTTTTTTTTGATGGTCTTGGGTGACCTCTGTGAAAGAATCCTTCAACTGCACTAAAAGAGAAGAATGAAAAAGTGAAAATGCGTAGTGTGCTTTTTAGCAGTGATAGAAGTGATGCTCAGAGCACAGACACAGTGGGAAACTAGGGTCATGAGTCTGAGATGTGGGTGACCAGTCAAATATGGAAGGATGAATTCAAGATCCATAAGCATCTTCATTTTAATGTTTAATGTAATGAGAGCACAGTAAATTAAAACTCATGAACACTGACTGTAGATAGAGAACTGGGCCCAGAAATGGGCATTACAGAAGTTTACCTCTAGACTGAGGAATACTGTTCTTTACAGGGACAGTCTCTGGTGGGAGTGAAGGGTGTGATATCTGGGGTCCTGTTCCAATGGAACCAAAGGTGAAAGAGTGAGAAACCACAGTGGCAGTACCTGAAATGACAAAAAGCCAGACTGAGTGATTCCCTGTTCCTCTGTCTGACAGATAGCCTCTCCTGCATGAGAAATGGTATGGCCATTAACACTGAAATACCCTAGCAGATGGCACAACCGGTAAATTACATAAATAAATAGAAAGTTAAAGGACCCAGAGGTTTATTCCAAGCCCAAATTGTCCCTGTGGACAGACCTTCAACTGGCCTTCAGATGAAAAGATTCTCACTCTCTTTCTGTCAGCAAGATATTGTGTACATATTCTTGATAATTCTGCTAATATCTCCCTTGATTGTATTTCAAAGTTAGACTGAGATGATGCCAAACACCATCGTTCCATTGGTAATTACTTTTGGAACAGAATCTTTGCATTTTGTGGTGGAAATGACTTATATCAATTATAACACTAACTGAAATCTATTCACCATTGCTCCATATGTACTTACCTACTCTTTTAATTTCCTATCTTTCTGTTTACAGTCAATTCATAGTCAGATAGTGCTATGGTAACCTAATTCCGCCTGTGTTGGTTTCCCTGATTGCCTCTTTCCTAACCACACTTGTTACACAAATGAAACTACACATCTATGCACTTTCAAGTTCTTTTAGATAGGCCTACTATAGAGATGTAACAACCACCATACCAATGACCCCACAACAGGAAGAGGACAAATAAGTCCTCATCCAACTTCCCTAACAACAGCTAGGGTTACGTCTTCAGAGGGATGACTCTTGATACCAACAAATAGAAAACCTGTGGGCAGGTTAGGATCAGAGGTCTTGATCAGTGTCTTTGGCCACAAACCAGAAATGTCCTTGATCTACCCTAGCTAGATATCAGAAATACCATAACTATTTAGGGTTTGCTTTCTCATGTGGTTCCCCTATGACTGTTTAGTCTTAATCTTGAGAGGGTAATGTTGCTGGAATTAGCCTTGTAGACAATTGAAGACGGATCCCCCGCCCCCCTTGTCTCATTGATTGCACTAGAAAAAAAGGCCCTCCTTCAGATTTATGTTTCTATATGAAAAGTTTGTGATAGCTAGGCTTTGTTGAAGTCCATTAATGAAAATTAATTATTCCTCCTGGTCAAAAGAATAGGATCTAAGTTTTATCTCTGTCCCTGGGTGAAGAGTTTACATTCTAAATTACTAAAGATAGAACATATGATTATCTTCTCCTTGTAAGAGGTAATCCTGCTGAGCCTGGAGAGCAGTTGGCCAGGAGTTAAACCCCAAGAAATCCTCACCTGAAGACAAGCTAAGAACTAATTTGCCCTTTAATGCAATGTGTACTCATCCTTTGCAAAAGCCCCTCTCTCAGGGCAGAGGCCTTCGAGCTCTGTCACATAGCACTTTGGACCCTGTCCACTTTCTTTCGTAATTCAGTTTCCATTCCTTTTTCTTTCAGATACCGGTCAAAGCATGCACATGCATTCTTGGCTTTCTCACTCAGTCTTCAAAGGTGTTTTTACCTACACTGTGGCTGCTGTTTCAGAATGTGGCTGCTCTGAGGATCTCAGTCAATGAGTCTGCCTACTTTCTCTACTCCTATCTCCCTGAATTGTAATTTTCTCTCTTCTTCTCTTTTTCTCTCTTTTGGTCAGCTGCTGAGATTTACCCATTTGTACACACACAAACATAGTTAAAATAAATTTAAAAAATTACTAAATTGTGAAAGGATTGGTCTTGAAAATTTAATGATTCTTAAAACTGGATCACCATTAATCATTTACATGCAGATTACTGTCTTGAAAAGAAATATATGCTAGAACTCGAAGAATAGACCAAAATAAAAAATAATATCTATACACCACAATATCATAAAAGAACATTTTACTATAAAAAGCTACAATCCTAAAAGATAAATTTGGTTTCATTAGTGTTAACAGTAACTATTTATCTTAAGACACTATTTTCCTAATAAAGAGTAGCATGGGTGAAGTTATTTGTACCATAGATTATTAATTTGTCTATACTGAAAATAGTAAAGAGTAACTAAATAAAATAACAATCTAAACATTGGTAGAAGAGATTTCCTGGGCTTACACATACTGGAAAACATGTTGACAATGAAGCCAATGGGATTTTTTTTATTCATTGAAAGCAAAATTACATTAGATTGTAATGGACTGAATTATTTACTATAAATTCACGCACCTAAGCTGCTCTGTAGTGTTTAGAGCTCTGTCCATGAAGAGGTATTTCAGGTTAAATGGTGCCATGATGGCGGAGCACTCATCTGCTCTGAGTGGCTTCCTAGCAAGGATATTCCCATTCAAAGAAAACGACTGAGAGCCACAGCAACAGCTCTCAGACTTTATTCTGTCTGTTTGTTTTTACAACTATGAAAGAAAACCCTGTTACTTAAGATAAAAGGTTTGTCCTCTGCTACTATCTGACCCTAGCCTATCAGGTTCCCTATCAGTGGACTAGGGGAGGGACATGGAAGGGGGAGGGAGAGAGGGTGGGACCAGAAGGAGATGAGGGTAGGGGGGTACAGCTGGGATACAAAGCGAATAAATTTTAATTAATAATAATAATAATGAAAAAAGATCTCAAACAGAAAAAAAAAAAGATAAAAGGTTTGTGACATTTATTGAAGAAATGCTGGCCAACTAATGCAAACTGAACTGTCACCTAGTTTGGCAAAGGCTGAAGCTATAGAGAAAAAGACTCCATCTAAATCTATATATATGAGATATGTATCACATATCTATATATGTAGCATATACATGCACACATATGTAAACATGTACAAGGAGACACTGACATAAATAATCATTAACTGTTATTCAAAATAGGGCCAAAGCAAAGCCAACATGCCTTCAGCATGATCATAAACATATTCGTACCCTTACATAGGAAATGCTATAATATTGGTGGAAAAGAGAAGTTAAGATAAAATGCATGAACTCCAGAAACATGACATTGACTTTAAAAAGTACATAAGATTATTTGAAATATGACAGTGATTTGATAAAACTAAAAACAATCACCTGCATAATGAAATATCCCATGGTTTTTATGTGAGAACAAGAATGGTGCTGAGGATTTGGTGGTAGAAGAGGCTTAGGACTGACACAGAAGTTCTATGGTCCTTATTCTCATTCTTACCTTTGGAGAAGTTTATTCTGTTCTTATGTTACATATGTTTATTACATACTTTTTAATTCCAGAATTAAATATTATAAAAGGTTGTTTTGAAAAAGTTTCTAGGTAGCAAATATTGCCTCTAGGCCTTAATTCTGGGTATAACAATGTCAACTTCTGAAGACCATACTTAGCCACTGGTAAACCTCTGTTTGCAGACCATCCAGCTATGACATGCTTTCCTATGATGAACTTGCTTTCATAATGAAGCATTCTATTTTTGAACATGTATCATCTTTATTTGAAGTGGCGCTGTTCCAAACAGTGGCTGTTCAGAAACTTTAAAAACGTCAGGAAAGTACAACTTCTGTTACCAAGAAAATAGAAGGGGAAAATGGACTGTAGGAGGTAAACTTGAAATTGTTGACAAATGTGTACAGAGCAAAATTGCAACATGGTTAATGCCTGAGATAGCAATGCAGACATACTGCTAGTAAATAGATTTGAGTACCACCCACCAGCAAAGGAATTAAAAAAGAAAAAGAAAAATATATTTCCAGATATTTTGGAATAAGTTCCAGTATGCTATTTTAGATCATTTTTGCTTTTGGGTTTTTAATTTTTTGAAAATTATTTTCTTGGTAACTGTAATCTATTAGATTTACATTTCTTTCATTAATTAAGCAACTTTTCTTTCTCTCTTGGGATCACGTAAGATAACAACAACAGCCTACAGCCTATCACTGTTGCAATAATATATTGTTCCACCCATCAAAAAGAATGGAAACTAGAATTTAACCGCTATCATCTGGTTGTAAGCTTACTGTAGGTGCTATGTCTAGGTGAGAAGAATGTTATGTGACATTGTAATAAAATTCATGTGAAGTCAAGATAAACTGTCAGCTACTTATACCACATCCAAGCTTTCATGTCATGGCTAATTCTACAATAGGTCTTGGCAAACAATGAGTCTGGGCTTGTCGTATAATTTGACACTGAATCATGGGAACTAATGCATTCATCCACTGGATTTTACTGCTTATATTTTGTGTTTCAGGTAGAGTGATAGGTCCTAAGACTCCTGCAGTCAACACATTCTGCAACACAGGGCAGAAATCTTTTCTGCCTCATTAACCTGTTTCATTCACTCACTAAACCATCAACTATTTGCCCTGTATCTTTGAAGTGCTAACTAGAGTCATGTACGATGTTAAACATCGAGTACTTAATTACACCCAAGAAAACTTAGTCCTTGATTTTGATGTCAGTGCCTTTTTGTCTCATAAAATATGAAAGCTCTCTGCCCAAATGTGCATCTCAAATTGCAAATAAAAAAGTAAATTGTGAATGGGATTCTGACATCCTTAACTACATGAAAACACAGTTTCTCTTCAACATGCCCCAATCCCCTCTGTTCCAACTTCATTTAGCATCAAAAGTAAGCTTAGATGGGCTCCAGGAAGAACCAAGTCAATTTCCTTATACAGTCAGCTGGAACTGCAACTTACTTGTGTTATCAGGGCCCTTGATTTTGAAAAAGAACTAAAGGGTCATGGAGACAGCAAATGAAAATGATTTATCTTTGGAGAAAAAAAGTGGAATGGGTTAATCTACACTAACCACCTCCTGAGATTAAAGTCCTGCTGTCACTAAGCGCACATAGTAACAATGAGCTAAAAATGGAAAAAAAGCATCATGGTGTTATTGTATTTGCTTCCCTCCAAGGAACAGTCTGGTAAACACTTCCACCTCCAAGGGAATTGAAAACAAAGTCTTCCTAGAATAAGTTAGACACCCATCTTTTCAACATAGCTTCCGAGTTATCTGTACATTTGAGGTGATCAAATCTGTGATTCTTCTTCAGAGGTCCTACCTGATTGGAAACCTTCTTGTCCTTAATTCATTGAATGCTTTCTTTTTCTTAAAGATGATCTTCAAATTTCTATCAGAAGTTGCTTCTTGGTGACATCAGGCATTGATATTCAGGGAGCTGTAAAGAAGATAGGTGAAATATTAATAATCTGTACCTATAGATTTAATTTTTTAATGTCTCCCATATCTTCTAATTTATAAGGAAGGTTATGATTTGTAAGTTTGAAGTAACTACGTTATAATGAAATCACAGGTTACATTTTGATAGTTCAAACCAAGCAAAGTGTTTCTAGAAGGCTCATTATCCCTTGTGATTTAGGAAGCAAAATGAGGACAAAAGGTTCAAGTTTTCTAACTTTTTTTAAATTTTGTTTTATTTCCTTCCCTTCTTTATTGGATTTCCACTAAGCAAACTTCCTTTAGAGTTTCAGAAGTTTATTTCACTACATTTAATTGTTCATAAAATAAATACAAGAAACCACTTGAGCTGCATTTTACAGATACCTTTAATGCCTTTTCAAATTTTGTCACACACAGAAATATGTGTGCATATATGTGTAGATTTTTGTAATAGGGTAGTTGAGGCAGAATACTTCATCAACTACTAGGAATCAAGACCAGTGGATATTACAGTAAACAGAAATAAATAAAACATTAATTATTGAGGTTCACACTGCAAAATATTAATAGCAATTTCCTGATGACTAATGGAATAGGCTTCTTAAATTACAGTCACACCTGTTAGACACCATGTGCCCTCAAATTTCAAACCTTCATAAGGAGAAAACAAGTGAGATTATTTCCACTTTGTTCTACCCACAAGTCATTCTTATAAAAATGTTTCTTTATAAATTCATATTGATATTGAGTTGAAGTCAGTATGATCTACAAAGAATTACATCCCATTGCAATACTACAATTTATGGTCCTGTAAAAGGTACTGAGAACTATTAGATCAAGAAAGTTTGGGATTTCTTAGTGTGAATCTCTCCAGCAGCTGAATCTGAGATAAGACATCAAATGCAAACTGACTATAGATCAGGCCATCTCAGTAATTCAAGAGTAGTGAAGGAAATTGGAGATAGGGCCTGGAAGAGAGCATATAGAATCATGTTCTGAATGAGTTACTCCTGCAGCCATCTGTTAGTTCTTCATAGGAGTTCTGAGTCTTTGTGGGATATGTCTCATTGTGATTCCAATAAATGGGTGAGAAAGTCGATGTGCATTAATCCCAAATCACCTCTGTAATTGGTTTTAAAAGACATTAGCAAACAGTAACTGCCAAGCTTTCTAGCCTTGTATCAAAGGGCAATTATGGGTAGCATTATGGTGCAATGGTTTATGCTGGGAGATATAGGTGAGACATCAACCAGTTTTGTGATTGGCTCTTAAGCCACATGGATAATCTTACACTCCCAAGTAAATGGTTTTCCGTTAAGAAATATTCAAATATTGATGCATCATTAAGATTTTCCTCTGTTGATCAAGTGTAGAATCCTAATACCCTAATGTTTTGGAAAGCCATCATTATCTTCAATATAATCATTGTGAAGAGACTGAAACAAGACTTTAAGTTGGCCATTAGTTCCTCATATTCAATATACATTAACTAACTGCCTGCCACTGGTACCAGATATTTAGCTACATTGTACTATTATAGTCAGTATTTCTATTCTTAATTTTAATTTTTTATATTAATTACATTTTATTCACTTTGCGTCACAGCTGTAGCCCCCTCCCCCATTCCTTCCTTATTCCACCCTCCCTTCCTCATCTCCTCCCATGCCCTCTCTGAGTCCACTGATAGGGGACGTCTTCCTCCCATTCTATCGGACCCTAGCTATCAAGTCTCATCAGGACTGGTTGAATTGTCTTCCTCTGTGGCCTGGTAAGGCTGCTCCCCCATCAGGGTGAGGTGATCAAAGAGCCAGCCACTGAGTTCATGTCAGAGACAATTCCTGTTCCCCTTACTAGGGACACACTTGGAGACTGAGCTGTTATGGGCTTCATCTGAGCAGGGGTTCTAGGTTATCTCCATGCATGGTCCTTGTTTGGAGTATCAGTCTCAGAAAAGACCCTTAGGCCCAGAGTTCTTGGCTCTGTTGCTCTCCTTCTGGAGCTCCTGTCCCTTCCAGGTCTTTCTATCTATCCCTTCTTTCATAAGATTCCACGCACTCTGCCCAAAGTTTAGCTATGAGCCTCAGCGTCTGCCTTGATACCCTGCTAGGTAGTGTCTTTCAGTGGCCCTCTGTGGTAGGATACTATCCTGTTTGCTGTTTCCTACTCTTCCACTGCTGGTGGGAATATAAACTTGTACAATAACTTTGGAAATCAATCTGGTGCTTTCTCAGACAATTAGTAATAGTGCCTCCTTAAGATCCAGCTATACCACTCCTAGGCATATATCCAAAATATGCTTAAATATTCAACAAGGACATTTGTTCAACCATGTTTGTAGCAGCTTTATTCATAATAGCCAGAACTTGGAAACAACCCAGATGTCCCTCAACGGAGGAATGGATACAGAAATTGTGGTACATTTACACAATGGAATACTACTCAGCAATTAAAAACAAGGAAATCAAGAAATTTGCAGGCAAGTGGTGGGAACTAGAAAAGATCGTCCTCAGTGAGGTGACCCCAAAGCAGAAAGACACACATGGTATATACTCACTTATAAGTGGATACTAGACATATAATATAGGATAAACATACTAAAATCTTACACCCAAAGAAGCTAATCAAGAAGGAGGACCCTGGGTAAGATGATCAATTCTCACTCAGAAAGGCAAATGGGATGGACTTTGGAAGAGGTAGAGTCAGTACTTCAATTTTATCTATTGAAGAACCAGTATAAATCCACAATTACAGCATAGATTATTTTGAACAGGCACAGATAGATTTTAATTCATGACTTTGATATAAATGTGTAGGATATAAAGAATGTTTATATTCTTTTCGTAGAAGGCAGTTTGGATAGTGCATGGAGTAGAATGGAAGAATAGGTTCTAAAGCCTATTGTTCCATGGGTCTCCAAGATTATGATCCCCTTTGTCTGTTTTCCTCCTTGGTTTTAAGTTGTGGTGAATTCTATTCTTTTGTTCTCAAGTATGACAAATTAGTAATATTTCCTAACCACTTTAGTCATGATGTTCAATCAGTATTTTTATTTTTGTTACGGTAATTTTATTTCTGTCATTTCTGCTGGGTTTTATTTTTAATAACTTAAATTTTTGCCTGTATTTTCTTTCTTCATGCATTTCAAGAAATAGGTGTGTTCAGCATTTATCAGGTAATTTATTTAGAAAACTTATTATAATTTAAACCACAGCTTACTTGGTGATTATTACACTGTTAAGGTTTTTATGATGTCCTGATTTGTTGTATGATGGATGATTTTCAAGTGTATTTTGCACAAAATTTGAATATTGTATGACCTCACAGTCATACAATATTTTATCTTCTTTTATTATATTTTTTAATTAAATTTTTATTTTTTTAATATTAGTTACAGTTTATTAACTTTGTATCACAGCTGCAGCCCGCTCCCTCATTCCCTCCCAATCCCATCTTCCTTCCGTCGTCTTCTCCCTGCCCCTTTCCAAGTCCGCTGATAGGGGAAGTCCTCCTCCCCTTCTATCTGATCCTAGCTTAATCAGATATCTTCAGGAATGGCTGCAAAGTCCTCCTCTGTGGCCTAGCAAAGCTGCTCTTCCCTCGGTGGTGTGTGTGTGTGTGTGTGTGTGTGTGTGTGTGTGTGTGTGTGTGTG